TGCGTGCCAAGAGCTATTTCAAATGGGGACCGGACGACAAACAGGAGCAAGGACTTACATGGGAACAACCGAAACTGCGAAGCTCCTCTTGCACGGAGTGAAACGGTTCGAATACATGGTAGCGTTCGGGAATCTGGAGCTCACCAAGAGTGATGACACGACTGAGCAAGGCCAGTTCACGATGCAACACACTAAGGCAAAGAAATGATTGAAAATTATCATTATTTTCGTTCAAATAATCCGAAGATGAGAAGTTGGTAAGTATATCCATGAGGAAAGTATTAAGCGTCATAATATGCGCAAAACTACACGATTATTATTTTGAACCAACCACCCAGAGGTTTCCGATTTTAGTCCTCATCCTTGTGAATTGCGAGGCGGAAAATCAGCGACGACAGAGAATGTGTATAGTTAAACTTAGAAACACAAGACCATAAGAGACGCACAAAAATAACGATAGTAAGGACAACGTTCAGCTTTGTGGCCGGACCTTTTGTATGATAAACAAGCTGGATGGAAACCGTAGACGTCCGCAAGTTAGTTGTCCAAAACAACAAGTAATGCTCCACACAGAATGCGATCGGACTAATTGAATCGGGATATCTCGAGGGAGGTTTGTCACGGTCAACTGAGTCGAAAAGTAGTCAGTATCAACACTGAACAACAAACGAATACTGACCTCAACCAATAAAGAGCTACAACTACCACTACCGCTTGTTATAAACAGCGCAGACCGATCAATGGAAGTGCAAAAACGCCGGGAACCGGAATTTTGTACACCGAATGTGTAACAAATTGAAAACACAATGGTTAGGTGAAATGAATGCCATTATTCCAAAAGACAACTGAGGCGTGAGTGAAGTAGTAGATCGAGAAATAATGTACAATGAGGAATTCATGAAGACATGCGAAAAAAATGTTCCGGATAATGCAGTTAAGGAGAACCGAAAATCAGTGTTCAAGCCCAACTACCAGATATGGCACGTGATCGGGATGCGATGGGAACACTAACACCTCAACACCGTCAGTCGATGTATTTCTTACAAGTACAAATGATCCTCTAAAACCGTACAATCAGAGTAAGCGAAAGAACCGCGCGGTTACTGAGCAATAAATGAAGATTGCACTAGCTGCCTTGTCACGCCCTTGAATGAAGAAGCATATAATGCAAGATTCGTGTGGTCCAATAACATTAATTTTGAAAAAATGTGAAGCAGAAATTAAACCCATGAGGAGAGTTGTGGAGTTCATAGAAATAATTCATCAATCCGTGGCATAATGGTATACATTTATATTTTCACATACGTCTGAATCCAGACTGTGCCAGACAAATAGTGTTACAATAATCTTTATGAAAAAGAAAGACGTTCATGATTTGGATATAGGCGGAATACTGCCAGGTTGAACAAGTCAAGGTAGGTGAATTTTCCTGAGGAATTCCAAACCGGAGCCTTCGGCTAGCCAACTCCCCTAGGTGAACTACCTGTGGTCCACTAACCCGGTTATAGCCCCGGATGTCAGCTTTTCGTCCTCTCACTATGGTGGTAAAACATCGCCACAAAAAGGCAGTGAGTAGGGCTTCCTCAGCAGAGGTTATTCGAGTCGTTTAGTGGTGTGAGACCATTTCACGAGGTGCAAAGGAAGAGTGACCAGCCACAACCTTAAAAATTCAGCCCCGACCATACTGAGGATACCAATTCGGCTCTTAACCGGAATGTTCCTGAAACCAAAAACCATGTGTAAGGGAAAAAATCCGGAACATAAATAGAAGCCAGGATAGTAAAACCTGCCTTGAGATAGGTTACCCATGGTAACCGAAATGTCTGGGAGTGAGAACCGATGACCGGTGGGTCTTTTGGCGTGGGCAAAAAACAAAAATATATAAAGTACAGATTGAAATTACGACATTCAGCACCGAGGTTGAAATATGCGCCTGAACATCAAGTAATCACCTGTGCTGCTTCATCCCTCAGTGGCCTTGAAAAATTCCTAAAAATCATGCTACTAGTGGTTCAAAAAAGGCTTTGGAAGGGGAGGAATTAATGCGATTCCAAGTACACAAAGCACGGGGAAAATGAATCGAAAACCTCAGAAACACAGTAGAATTGGAATCAAATCAAACACATGAGTCCAATTCGGAGTACTTCCGATCGAGTCTAATCCCAAAATGAGCGAGGTGCGATGCGCGCAACAAGTCTGTGAAATTGACTGGGCTACATAGTGTTAGAATAAAGAGGAACACACTGAACAGCTAGCTGGTCGACAGGAAAGTGGTAAGTGTGCTCGCGTTCGACTTGTGAGATCCCGGATTCGATCGTCAGTTGGATTCTCAGTGCGCAACAGTGTTTCCTTTTGAGTCAACAAGGGACTGCTGCTTCGAAGCGAACGTTCCAGAATGACACATTCCGGATTACGGAGGCCAAAATAAATTTCACATTCCTAACGTTTAAAAATAGTAAGTAGAAGAAGTATGCTGCAGGTATGTTCCCAAAAACCGTGTACTGGATAGCCAGCAACTTTTATACCCATCGAACTAGTGATCACTCATTGTTATGGCATTATCTCCTGGACAATTGAAGATTGCGTAATGTCAAATTCAGCTATGATCAACATGATTGAAACAGACGATAGTTCAGTGTTTTGATTAGCCTCCCAAAACCTGGATTCTCTAATCCTCTAAAATCAGAGATTGAAGTCTTCATTCTACGAATTTGGTAATTTTACGCTTCGGGTTAGAGAACTGAATGAAGTCGGATAGTCTATCAAACCTCTGGAAAGCTACCAAACCGGCCGGGTCAACCGAAGTGAGCCTAAACGATAAGCATAACCTGATGGTCAGTCTATTGCATGAAGTGAAGGGAGGGGAAGGGGTGAATAAGTGAAACTACTGAGTCAGGAACCGAACGATACACGACTCGACAGCACTGAATGTTCTGCCTGATTTCCCCCACATTATTTTAGTAGAATATTAGTTCATTTAAGTTATAAGGTAAAGAACAGTGATATTACACGCGGGGTGATCACGTGTTGCCCTATTCACTGTACCACAGGAGATGATCTTTTTCCTGTGAAATCCTGAAAATCCTATTCTTATCACGAACAGATTGCAGTTTGCATGTCGACCGTGGTAGATCGTGATTGCAGGGTGGACATAAGGGAGCAAATTCGAAGAGAAAAACAAACACCCTCATGCACAGATGGTTAGCGGTCAATGAGTTAAGAGGATAAGTAAACAAACCTCAGAGCAACATGTGTACATTGATAGAAAAACTAAATGCACGACAAACTCATGCGATTAAAGAACCCTTTGTTTACAGAGGAAATTCCCAAAGTCGGAGCAGTATAAAAACAAGAAACAGGACATGTTATCACACAACGCTTAGCTCACAGATGAGAACTGAACTCTGACTGTTTCCTGACTTACACATCTCGTGCGCATTCCAACGCCGGATCATTCATCCACACGCCAGACTGATAGATCTTTTCCATGACAAGTCTCCGAATGTGCACACGGGCAAACGCCACATGAGATGCGGCGAGATGAGCGAAGTCTCCATCCACCTCTTCGCGACCGGAATCGAGTCGGGACACCGGAAAAAAGATAGGCGGTCGACGACTGGTTTCCACCGCCTCCCAACGTTCAATAAGATCGCGGATGAACTGGAGAGCTAACTGAGATGCCGCACTGCGACCACCCTGTCCAGTTGCAGTCGCACCCCGATCTTCCACCTCGGACCGATTCCGTTGCTCGGTAAAGTGATCGTAGAACAGGCGGAAGGCTTCGCGTTGAGAATCCAAAAATGTGGTCACGTATTTGTGCACAATATATTCACATTGAACTTGCAGTTCTCTTTCACATCTGAGTGCAGGTGACGGAAGCAGGGGGTGTAAAGATAGGTGAACCAAAACCTCAGCAACGTAAATCGGAGAAGGGATTTATCTTTCTTTGGTGTGGGCTTAGGAGATGGAAACATCAAAGACAATATTCTGTACTTGTGTCAGGTACGACGGCATATTTTGCTGTTACACACGCCTCCAGACTTTTAGGTCAGTTGTAGTCAGCACAAGGATCTATCTATAAAGTGGAATGCAGTGGAAAAAGTGCTATAGTCATCATTCCCAGGACGTCTTGGTAGATAGTTTCACGGTTGCTTGGACGAACACCACGTGTACGATACCGCGTCCAAATTACAGGGCCTTGGGTTGTTGAGTCCAGTGGACCGTCGTTACTCCAGGGTTCCCAAAATCTTGTGTCTCAATTGTCTCAATTCCCAAACCTGTTAATTACCAATCCACGATCGAACACATACACTAGCCAGCTGGGGAGGGGGGGGCTCAGAACATAAAACGGCTAAACCCACTTCAGTGAAACGGAACCGTTTATGAGCATTGAATGATTGTTTAACATGTACTAAAACGTGTTCAAAAGTAAGGATTGGAGGAACAGTTAGCACTTCTGATGTACTGGTAGTGTAATATTGATACCACACGAAATTTACGGGGGCCAATAAGTGCAAGTTTGCGGATTAATCATTTCGCAAAACACTAGGCTGTTAGTGGTCATTCGGTCCCAACAACCTGCCACAAGTGACGAAGTGAAACGCAAAAAGTGGAATTGGGTTTGTTACAATTTGTCATCACACTTCCTAGATCTGATTGAGGGGTTTTAAAAGCACTGTAAAAGACATTGGAATCACGGGATCCGGAAAAAATCAACGCCTGCGTACAGTTCGGCATCGATTTCGATCTCACTACAGTGCACGGAATATTCAATAGATCACAAGTAGTAGACTCACCGACGCTGCAACATGATCAAAGAACGTTTATGTGCTGCGACTCGGTTCCGTTGTTCCGTTAAGTAGGCCAGGTAGGCAAGTCGATGCCGACGTTCAGCACGTAACTGGTTCAAAAGACTGATGACAACCGAATCACACTCGATCGGAGAAGAAGGGGAACACGTCGGATGGTCGGGATGAACTGCTGCTGTAGATAAATTTGTCCATGAGATCAACTGCGATTCGTTAGAGGTTGCCGGAAGAGGGTTACGTGATAGTTGCATTTGGGTATTGAGCAGGAGGCGTTCAAACAGGCGCTTCGTTTCGCGAATACAAGTGGTTAAACTGGGATCCTGAGCGAAACGAAACGATGTGAAGAAATTCAATAGTAGAGAAAATGAATTATCGGAGCAAAAAAACATTAACAACAGAGTCCGTCCGTCTTAATGATCAGCAGCATTATGAAGCGAAGTATGGGGAAGATAGTTTCGTTGATCGGCCGGTGTGAACGAAACAAAGTACAACAGATGGATGAATCCTAAGGAAGTGATGAGAACAAACTGAATTACTATGGTCAAAAAATGTGCACAGTCCAACAATTTATACTCACACCTTAAAGTGGTCGTGCAGATTAAGTAAGAACAATATCATTACTGTTATTTGCCGCCCAATCTTTGGGAACTCCAAGCAAGCCGGATGATCGTCTGAGGCTCAACTCTGAAGATGGAATTATTGCATTAGGTAATCTCTCCTTCCACGCATTCATATCTCCACTACTTATTGTCATTTGATTTCTGCATGACCTCCTTCATACATGCATCCTGATTGGTCCAATGAATTCTAAATTTTGGCGACAAAGATCTTTGTGTGAAGGTTACTGTATAGCTGTCTCCTCTTTGGTGAGACTGATCAGCGGTGTGCACCTTTTATTTCACCGCCTCGTGTCTGTACGATCAACGTTAAGAATATGGCCATTCTCTGAAGAGTTTGTTCACCGTACATAAAAAGATGTGGAAGGGACGAATGTCTAATCCAGGAATGCACACTGTACATGGGAAGTTATAGGGAACATTCAAGCTAGAACCAGATTGTTGATTCTGCGTCTAAAGACAATGCTGTTGTAGGTTGAGGAGAAAAGAGAAAGCGAAGAGTGCTCCACAATTGTGCTGTTCTTGGAAAAACAGACTGAAAGTTAGAAATGCAACGCTTGGAGATAGCCACTTGGAATGGGTGACTAGATGCTTGTGTACGGGTCCTATGAGGAGTAACAAGTGGGGAAGAGATGTAACTGCTACGTTCGGCAAGACAGAAGACAAATGAATGTTGGCAGAACAAGAATAGAGAAGCGTCTACTTAACGGTGAGCTGGTGTCTCAAGGTGTTGGCCGCTGGTACTGTAACTCGTGGGTATGAGTTTCAGATTCTGACCAATAAGTTCGCCATTTTACTTTCACCAAGGCACAATGAGTATTGATTGCTAACAAGTCCATAAAAGGACGAAACAATTGTCCAGTGCATATTGTCAGTCATTAGACAGAAAATTACACTAAATGAAACGCATCTGACAAGCAAAAAACTGTAACGCCCTCACAAAATGCATGAAAACCACATACCGTGCCAAAACTACGTGAAACGGAAACAGCATATCCAAGTATAACATTTGATTGAATCCCACATGTATTGGTTGCTTAGCGGTGACACCGATACGTAAACCGTAACTGCCTCAAACACTCCATTTTCGGATGAGTCCCATGCATTTAATTCATTCCATCAACATCAATGCTACATAAATGATAGCAGGGGAATACCTTTCACACACACGCAGGGGATGGTGACAAACAAGCAGTGAGCCTCGGTCCCGAGGGTTCGGAGATGCCTCGGCCTCCGACAAGTAAATTTACCGGCAGATAGCCTTGATGCCATCCAATTCAACATCACGCATATTGCAACGTGGCTTTGTGCTGTTCCTTAATTCAAGCCTCAAGGGCTAGATTACCGACTCCTATGACTGAACAGTGGGCCCTTGTTAATACGATGCTCACCCGTTTGAATATGCGTGCCGTAACACAAAACTGGTCACCGAGTGGCGTACAGTATGCAAAGCGTACATCCCATACCAGATGTATTTCAGTTGAACGTAGGCCGTTGAAACTGTGGCTACTTCTACAACTTTAATTCGTTACTCAACTACTGATCATGGTCCCAGGGATACCTCGGTAGGAACAATCAATTTTGCTTGGTCCTTAATCATCAAATGTCAAAGCAGGGACGATTGATCCACGTTTGGTATATGTGTCATTTTTTTAAATTGAACCGATATCTTTGGAGATGCATCCTCATTGTCCGACACTCTCGTTTGGGATCAGGTAACATTGAACAGAGCCTGAGTTTGCCAATACGTTTTGTTTCTGAACCGTGATAGTAGAGGAGAACCAACATCGAAACAGTGGATCGCAGAAGATGACCATATAGCTAGCAATCATGAATTCGTGGAATCACGTCCGCTTTCCAACTACTACGAAGTAAAGCCGAATTCTCATAACTGGGAATCGAAAACAAATCACTTGGTAAAAGCAGAGGTAATGAAGGGGAGGATGACACTTACTTGGGAAATTAACGTGTCCGATACTAAAGCATCCAGTAGGGCCAAGAAAAACCTATCCTCTTTAGATATATTCGGTGAACAAGCAGTGGTTGTTCGAGCAAACAATTCGGTAGCCATCAGCTGACGGGAGATGGTTTCCAACACGGTGCCGACTAAGGGACTGGAGAACAGACGACGCAATCCATGTGTGAGATGAATTCGTAATTGGTTGGAACTGTTGGATAACGCGGTACGATATGAACACGAACTGCACATTCCAGCTGGAGAGCCGGATGAAGTGGATGCTCCCGGTCCCGTGGACGGGGCGGTGCCAGCGTTTGGCGGGGTAAGTACAGCAGGAACCAACTTGCCGGTGCCAACGCGATCTCGGGTGAGCGAAAATGAAGCGTGGGGTCTGGCATCCGATTGTCTTCGATAGCGATCCATCATCTCATCAACCGATTCATCTGATATGAAAGGATTTTGGTGATCGGTGACACAGACTCCGAGATCAAAGAATTGAATGGAAGTCATAAATGAAATTAACGAAAGAGATGATTGAATTGAACCATAGCCGCGGAACGACTCAGATGAGCGAATGAAACTGAACAATCTACGGCGGAATGAAATCCCACAAATTTTGTTCACGAGCGGTGAGGAAACCTGACGCGTGATTTTTTAAGCTATCTGACATTGACAAAATGCACAGTGCAAGAGGAATTTGACTCAGCGAAGAGAAATCACCCATGCTTTTGTATCACAAGTTTTCTACCGTTTGTGCTACTACGTCCGATAAGCGGCTCTGAGTTCTTCATATCTGGTGACTCTTTCAAAGTGTTCCTGATCTCGGAAAAATTCAGCTGTGACAGACGGGTTACGTGCAACCTGAGACCTAGATCTCTTTGGGAGTCGGGTGTGTAAGCATTTGTAAAAATCAGTTCATTGAATGTACACTGTACCAATACATATGGGACGTGCAAGACTTGGTCCGAATAGCTCGTTCGGTGGAGTAAACCTGTTACTCTCTATTGCAAAATCAATCACAAGAAGACTGAATATTTTGCAAGACGCCGGGCAATGTCTACCAACTAATGGAGTCGGTATTTACTTTCGCAACCAAAAATCCGAAGCAGTACTAGGAGCTTACGTGGAATGTGGATAAAACATTGTACAATGATATTAGAAAAGTGCACGCATCCACGTAACTGGTTCAAATTACCCGATTGTGTATGGCAGGGAGTTCGGGTAGAGCAAGTATCATCATCATTAACAACAACAGGGGTGCATGCATTGAGTATACTGTTGATGCAGCAAATCCACGTGGAGGGAGGGGGTGCACTGAATGTGTTAACAAGTTAGCATAATTACAGCACACTCAGAGATTGCATACTGACCATCGTATTAGGTCACACGCATGGCATTATTGCACAAGATTAAAGTGAAATTCAAGTGCTAAAATCATTTTGCGACAACAACAAAAAAATACAGAAACACTGGATGATTAATGCACCGGAAATAAAGTCGCGGTCGAGCATACTAGTCATCAAACATTGGAATACATACTGTTGTGTTGAGACAAACAAAAATAACAAAAAATAAGCAGATATTGAGGCAGGAGAGATAACAGTTATCACTGGAGCGTTGTAATGCATCAATTCCAAATTCCATCGTGGGACAAAGGAACCTGGAGACGGGAGATGTTTGGGTTTGCTTTTCGTGTACCCCCGACGATGAATATGCGTATGTCTAAAACCATTTCCTCCGTCGTTATCCTCTAAACAACAAGCGATTCGCGGAAACAGATACATCGTTCTGATCTGTGTACTAATCGGGTGATAACGGATCAAAGAGCAAAAAAAATCGGTTGTACAGTACACTAATTAGCTCACTATAATTGATTGGCGAATTGCGTGCCTTTTACTGACGAGAAATACCGTCCCTATAAATTGGTTTGTGCTCCAAAAGTGAAACAGGATGTAATCACCGGTGTACGCAATTAAAACAGCACGAATCTCAATCGAAAGGAGATATCAAAGCTGTAGTAAGCAAATAGGAAAACAATTATCATACGGGAACAAAGACCAATCTTTATAACGACTAATACGAGCTGAGGAGCTCGGAAAGAAATGAAAACATCCGAGTAGCGTACCTGCACGTTCTTCAGCAGACTGCCAATGAACTGCATGTGCCAGGTGTTCCGTAGACCGAACCTCGGAAGTGAATGAATCGAAATTGGAAGGAGCACCGTCCAACTGATTACGTGGCCTTGACGACTGGGCGGATCTCTCCTCGTCCGGATTTCCGCCAGCATAATTAGAAGCAGATACCTGTGATCTGGGCTCCTGCTGTGTAAAAAGTGAATAAGCAAATGCGTGGTTTGGTAGAACAAGTGGACCAATACGATTAACCAATGATGAATATAGGCCATTTATTTTATTCAGATAAACTGGAAGAGGAGAGAAAGAGAGAGGACAGAAGGGGAGGGAAGGAAACAAGAAAAATGTTCACATGACAGATAGGGAGCAAAATACGAACGCATGAGGTTGGAGATAAAAAAGCAGTCAACAAAGGAAAAGATTTGAATAACGGAAAACGGGCGAAGGAAATCAATAGATAAACCAGATGAAGATTTATTTGTTCGCACGTAGTTAGTGGTTACATAATACCCAGAAAAATGCTCCTGATTCATCTCATACACTCTCCAGCAAACACAAATCAAACGATAACTGAACAAACTCAAGGAAGGTATCATGAACTAGGAGTAGCATACTTCAGTGGATCTGCAGTCTGCCGAACTGATGACAACTTTTATAGCTTTTATATGGCAACGTTGTACGAAGGCCTAAATAGTGGTGGGGATAACTAGAAACTGAAGTCCTGGGAGTTTGGAGTGCTCAATCGTATATGGAGCCGATAGAATAGATGTAGTAGTGAGTCAAACAATGGGCGGCTACGGTTCACTTTAACTTGATTTGAAGAACTAAGTCGCCAGGTCAGTGTAGAAACGAGGACGAGGAGTGTATAGATATCGTAGGAAGACATGGAAATCAAGATGCTGTCACCTCAGTAGTCTCGCCGTTACAGCGCTGATACCTTCGACTGGGGGAGCGATGTGAGCTAGATATGGAGATTATTCTTTGACTAAATTCAAGTTTCGTTGAATAAAATCAAGTCCACTATTCCTCGATAATTGAGTTAAATCGAGTAGTTAGGCTACCACGAGATAAAAGTGGTGGGAGGAGGGGGGAGGCAGGAAGTGAGCGAAAGTTCAATAACGCATACTGCGCCTGGAGTGAGAAACAGTTCAACAGCACACGCCCATCTGAGTCGTGTAGTCCACAAAGGGCCAGATAGGGAGAATGAATGACAATAGCGTGGATTATTGAACTCTAATATGATATATCCGCTA